AATTTCTTACAACTGCTTCATATATAAAGCAACTTAATAAGAACACGAATTTATTAAATTGGAGGCTCAAAGATGGGATGATAAAACAAGAGAATGGATGGAAAGGAAACAAACTGAGGACAAAACAACATCATTATAGAACAAATAAATAAATAAGAACTAACAAGAAAGAGAACTGACCCCAATGAAGCTCAAATTACTGAATTGGGGCAGCTAAACAAGGTAAAGAGTTTAAGAAATAGAATTAATAGAGATGGAATACAGACAAAGATGATCCAATATAAGGATTAATTGATATATCCCTGAAGAAGAGAAACCAAAAATAGAGCTAAAAAAGATGTTTAATGCAGAGGAAGCAAAACTAAAACTGCAGGTTGAAAGACATTATGTTCCAGAAAAGCTTTGTTCAGAATGCTTATTACTAAGCTATGTTTTAGTTAAGTTATTGAACTGAAAAAAAAAAAAAAAAAAGATGAAGAGCGACTTCTTTAGACATACAAGTAGGAAAAAAAGGCCACCCACAATGGGGAAAATTTAGGCTGGCCTCAGACTTCTTCCCAGAAGAAAAAGGAGCAAAACCTACCACATTCTATGGGAAAGAAGGTGAGACCCAAGTATATTTTATCCAGCCAAGACATGGTTCCAGTGTAAACGCAACAGACAGACGTGCTTAAACATCCAAAACGCTTCTTGAGAAAACAGCTTAACAATGAAATTCAGCCCATTAAGAGAAGAATTGAAATAAAGACCTTGCAAATGGAGAATCCTTGATAGAAGGACCAGAGATGATCATCGAATTTATTAACCCTGGAATGTATACCAAGAAACTAGAACAGAATATGATTATTTTCTTTTTCTTTTCTGTTTTAATTTATTTTATTTATTTTTGGCTGTGTTGAGTCTTCCTTGCTGCGCATGGGCCCTCTCTAGTTGTGGTGAGCGGGGGCCCTTCCTCGCTGTGGTGCGTGGGTTCCTCACTGCAGAGAAGCTGTGGAGCAGGTCTCTAGGTGTGCGGGCCTCCGTAGTTGTGGCTCGTGGGCTCTAGAGTGCAGGCTCAGTTCTCATTGCAGTGGCTTCTCTTGTTGTGGAGCACGGGCTCTAGGCATGCGGGCTTCAGTAGTTGTGGCACCGGCTCTAGAACACAGGCTCTGTAGTTGTGGCACATGGGATTATTTGCTCCGCGGCACGTGGGATCCTCCCGGACCAGGGGTTGGACCCGTGTCCCCTGAACTGGCAGACGCATTCTCAACCACCGTGCCACCAGGGAAGTCCCTGATTATTTTCTCTTAATGTTTATTTATTTATTTGGCTGAGCCGAGTCTTAGTTGCAGTGTGCAGGACCTTCATTGCTGCATGCGGGACCTTTAGTTGCAGCATGCGGGATCTAGGCCCCTGACCAGGGATGGAGCCTGGGCCCCCTGCATTGAGAGTGCGGAGTCACTGCTGAACTCATTGCTGCATGCGGGACCTTTAGTTGCAGCATGCGGGATCTAGGCCCCTGACCAGGGATGGAACCTGGGCCCCCTGCATTGAGAGTGCGGAGTCTTAACTGCTGAACCACCAGGGAACTCCCCCAGAATATGATTATCATAAATTTGGACAATGCAACAATAATAAGTAACAAAAGTGAGGAGGCAGGGTCAAGGGAGGTGGAAAGATGGAAAGAATCATGAGACCTAATGCACACACAGACACCCAAACATGCAATTAAAATGCATAATTTTAAAAAATTGACTCCAACTTCTTCATGTTTTTCACAATTTTTGTTTACCCTCAGAGGTATCTTTTAGGAAGTAATATCTCTTGTGGTCAAGAAGCATTACTTGAAGTTCAACTATTCCTTCAGTTTCACTTCAACTTTTAAATTCAAGTAAAATTAAATTTAATACTTTTAATTAAAATGGCACCTGTATTATTGTCCAATTCTAACAAAATATCTCTATGATACTTTCTCCTGTCTGTAAATATGCATAGAGAGCTTTCTGGAATGATGTAAGGTAATGGTCATTTCTGTGGTTGATTCTGAAAGGTGTATATAGCTGATTATTTCCTTGCTTGTCACTTTTTAATATTTTAATTTTCTAGTAAATAAATTAAAAAATTAAAGCATTAGAAAAAAAATTTCAGGCATCTTATCGAACAGAATAAATCGTTCAAAAACAGACTATAGCAGAGATTGCTGCTATCTCCCAATGTCTACTCTTTTAACATTTTACGGAATTTTTAGCTTTTCACATGGTGGCCAAAATAAAGACCCCATTTCTCAGCTGTGGCCAATAGGATATAAGCAGACGTGCCATGTGGCAGTTTCTGGAACCATCTGAGAGTGTTTGCTCATTTTCTCTTTATTACCTTCATTCCGTCCCGCTGTCTGGAATGCTGATTTCACCACTTGGGACCATGAGGTCAGGGCTTTTCAAAGCAAAGCAACATAGGAGGTGTGGACACAATGTCACATCACCGAGACTGCCTATCTGGATAATGTGCGAAAGAAAGAAGCTTCTATCTTATAGAAGCAACTAAATCTTATCCTAACTGAGCCACAGGCCTACACACACACACATAGAAATTTAGCCTCTGATACTATTTGCATTGCATATCAGTGATGATGAAACAATTGGTTTGGCATGCACATAAACAAATCACTGATGGGCCTAAATGTGAAAAACATTTTTTAAAGTTTTATAAGAAGATACAAAGAGAATATCTTTATGAGTCTGAGACAGGGAAGGATTTTTTTAAAGGAGATTTTATGGTGAAAACCATAAAGGAAATAAGAGGTAAACTTTACAACATCAACATTTTGAACTTTTGCATGACAAAAGAAACTATAAACCAAAGTAAAAGACAAGCAACAGTGAGGCCTGTCCAGTTCATTTTCAGTGTGATGCTAGGTGTGTATGTGGGGGTGCGGGCAGGGGAGCGGTCAACTAAGTTTGAGAAAGGCTGCATATTCCCTTTACCTCTCAGACAGTGACGACGCATGTTACCTTAACAAAAGCTCTGAGGACTTCTACAGAAACCTTTTCTTGTATGGAACTAAGTCTTCCATAATACAGTTATCTAACTCTGGGACCACTGTGTGTGTGTGTGTAACAGCTGTGAAGTCCTCCTAGGTGTATAAGGAACACTAGGAAATGCTGCCCTGAGAAATAACACTTTGCCTCCTGTGAGAAATGATTGCCGTATTCACCTTTGTGTCCCCACAGGTAACTCTCCCTACTTCAGTAATTCTGACCAGCGGCAGCAGTGGAGCAGATGGGGGCAGAGAGGAGGAGAGGAGAAGAACAGGAAGGAGATGGAGACGGAGAAGAGGAAGAAAGAAAAAGGGATTCGGGGTTTCAGGAGTAGATGTCAGTTTTCCTAGTAGAGTGAACATAACCAAAGAGAAGGAAGTCTGCTGTAATCTGGGCTTTTCCTTCTCACAGCCAGCAGCTGGGGCTGCTAGAAGTAGATCATTTTGAAATATGTCCAACTAGGGGGGAAAAGACCATTTTAAAGATAATTTAGGGCAGGTCCCAGAGAGTTGTGATGCAGAAAATGGTAGTTGGGACAGATTTCTTGCCAGTTACGGGAAAGAAAAAGGAAACAGCAGATCTGGTCTAGGACAATCAACTCCACATTGATTGACCACCCACATACACTCTCTCTCCCTCTCTCTGGGTTCTGACATTGGGGCCTTTGTAGTCTAGAGAGGGAGATTTTATTAAGCATTTTATTTCAAGTATAGTTGAAAGCCTTTTGCTTATTTTATTGTGTTTAATCCTGTGGCAGAGGTACTATCATTATTCTCAATTTGGGGATGAGGAAAGGGAGGCACAGGTAAGTAAATTACCTAAGGTTAAAAAGCTAGCAAGGGATGGAGGCAGGGTTCTAACCCAGGCGGTCTGCCATAGGCTCAGCTCCGTTAACCACAGCTTCGCCCATTTCTTGTTGATAACTACAGTACAACGTGTGAAACACCACGATAGGGAGGAACAAAGTGAACACACTGAGTCAGAAAGGACCAGTGCGATGTCAGTTCACCTTAGTGAGTGTTTGCCCTGGAGAGGAGGGAGGGGAAAGCCACTGCAGGGTGAAAAGCTAGGTGTGCCAAGTCCAGATATGGTCTATGGGCACCTTCAGCCAGGACAATTTCCTGAGTCAGAGGGATAGGCTGGGTTGTTTCAGAGAGAAAGGCAGAGGGAAGGGAAAGAAAAAGAGGGTTTCATTGGATTTGGGGCTGGATTTGATATAGTCAGTGAAAAGGACTAGAGCCCCCTGAGGCCTTTGGCTTGGGCAGAGGTATTCGTTTCCTAAGTTTTGTGCGCATTTTGAGTAGTGAGATTAGCAGAGAGAATGTGCATGCATTGGGAGCCGTAGTCTTCTATGCACAGTGCCCAGACTCCATTAAGACATCGCTCCAAACCCTTGGGGGCAGGCATGGTGACGGTCACTTGCAATCTGATGTCTTGACTGTCGAGCTCGGCTTCTATTGCATGAATCCCGAGCCTGAACTTCGCATCCTAAGCATTTGTTGCGCAAGAAGCCAAAGGCTGGTCCCTGGCCCAGGAAGGTCTCCCGGCCGGACGCGCGGGTCCCGCCCTGGGTGCCGCCCTGGCTCGGACCAGAGCATCAGGTGGGGCCCGGGGTACGGTGACCCGAGGCTGAGGCAGCCTCTTCTGGCCCCGACCGGCCGCATGCAGTCCGTCGACACTCTGGCGGGTGATCCCAGTGCATTTACAAGCTCCAACCGGGTGGAGGCGGCTTGGTGGGGGAGACCCCTAGGGCGCACGCAGCACTCCAATCTCCTCCGCACGGAGCGGACTTTCTAGCGCGCGGGAGCGGGACACTCCCTCCTGGGCTTGGCCCCAGCCTCCCAGGGACACGCGGCAGGCCGGCAGGCACCGGCCCCGGCCCCTCGGGCACTGCCCTCCCCGTCCCCCAACTCGGGGACTACAAGTCCCAGCAGCCCCCGCAGCCGGCACCTCCCGCCTCGCAGCGGAGACCCCCGGTCATACTAGCTGAGGGGCTCGGGCTGCGCTCGTGGCCGGGCCGGGCGGAGAGGCCTGTCCCGCGGGCGGGGGCGGGGGCGGCTCCGCGGCTTCTCCCGCCGCCGCCGCCGCCGCCGCCGCCGCCGCCGCCGCCAAGGGGAGTTTCCAGGAAGTGGCCATATTGGATCCATTCAGCCTCAGCCGCCCGGGCGAAGCGCGTCCTGCAGCCGGCTTGTCCCCATCGCGGCCCGGGTGCTCGCCCCGGCTCGCCCGCCCGGTGCGGAGCTCGCCATGGCGGCCACTGACCTGGAACGCTTCTCGGTGAGGGCCCTCTTGGGCCGCCGCGCGCGCGGGAGGCTCTGGACGCGGGGAGGGGGCCGCCCTGCAGCTGGCTGGGGTCGCGAGCCGGACTGTCAGCGCCGCGCGGCCGGGCCTCGACGCCGGGCGCGACGGGGCACACCGGAGCGGGCTCTTCGCAGCGCTAGTCCCGGGTCCCAGGGCGTCGGGCGGGGGCGCCTTGCCGGGAGGCTGGCGGGGTCGCCCTCCTTGGGCGAAGAAGAGCAGACCTCTTTCGCGGAGAGGAGCAGATAAATACCCGCCTGGTCCTGGCCAGGTCTGAGGACAGACTGGGGCCCCGGGGGGCCAGAGGGGAGGATCCAGGATACTCCGGACCCACTTCTCCCTAGTGTTTCTGCACGGCTGGGGAAGATTCCTAGCCGCGCAGGTGCTGTTGGATGGGTGCATCCGGTGAGGATGAAGCCCTAGGGATCCTAGGGAGTCCCTCAAATGAGCCCAGGGCAGTTGCAGACCTGGGTCCTGAAGACCACGGCCTCCTTCTCCTTCCCGCTCCACCCCCCACCTCCCCACCCAAGCTCCCGGATCCTGGGTGCGATTCCAGGCAGCTCTGGCCTCAGTGGTCGGGTCTGAAGCAGCCATTCCCCAGGAACTGGAGGGATTCCAGATTCAGCCCAGTGGATGTTTGGGCACCAGTCCAGGTATGCCTTCTGCAGGGCTAACGTCTCTGGTGGTCCCTGTACAGGTCTCTCTGGGCCTGAGCCAGCCAATAGCCAACTTCCCAAAGGCTTTCATAATTCACGCGGGGGAGAGGGGCCTTTTGGGGATTGTGTCTGCATGTCCCCTGATGTCTAAGGCTGGATTTGGGTGTGTCTGGGAGGTTGGGCTGTGACAGTGACGGAAGCTGTGTCCTCTTGCCAGCATGTGAGGCCCTGGTTGGTGGTAAGGAGGAGGGAGGGCCCAGGGATGTTGGGGGTAGGGGGTAAATGCTAAATATGTGACTGATAAGGAATTGGTTCCGGGGCTAAATAAGGGATTCTGGACTTATGTAATTGATGCTATAAATATTGTCATCTGAACTTATATATGTAAATTTTCTCTTTAATCTAAAAATGTTGGTGTACTTTGGAAATATGCGTAATTAAAGCAGGAACTCTTGGTTTCATAATTTTTAGACTTGGGTGTTTTATTCCCATTGGAGAGGGGCCTGCGAGTCAGTTCAGTAAGTTTAAATACAGGAGGAGCAGATTCAGAGGTTGGGCAAATCAGAGATTCACCCTACCCCTGCACTGTAAATGGGAATTTATGTACCCCAGGAGGGCTGTGCATGAATCCCAACAGACCTGCTGGTTAGCTGGAGGCCAAGAGAGCTGTGTGTGTTTGTACATCTCTGCCCGCGTGCCTGTGTGCATTTTCTGTGCCCAGCTGACCAGAAAGTTATGTCTGGGTCTTGTCTGTCTGTGGCCAGAGGTTACTCTAACAGTTGGTCTTGCAGGTGGGAGCAGTATGTAGAGTAACTAGAATCAGACTGCCTGATGTGAATCCTAGATTACTGCTTGTTGGCCTTGTGACCCTGGGCAAGTTGTTTAACCCCTCAGTGTTCTCATCTGTATAATGGAATAAAAATACTACCTCCCTCATAGGGTTATTGGAAAGATTTAATGAGAGTATCCAGGCGAGGTGCTTAGAGCAGTGTCTGGCACATGGTAAAGACACAATAAATAATACATGTCACTTAGTGCCCATGTGGATGTGAAGACTGGCCCTGTGTGTAAGAAGGCAGCAGAGAATGAGCTTGCTCCATTACACGGTACCCTCCCTAGGGGCTCCCATCACTACACGTGTCCAGAGATTATCCTCAGAGGCTGAGCTGAGAGGCCTAGCTGCAGTGCCAGGCATTGGGCTGGAAAGGCTCTTCCCCTCAGATTCCTGTGTTTGCTCTTAAACCATATCTGCAAGGATTTCAGGTATTATTGCCATGGTGGGCCGAGGCACAGAGAGAGGATTGACTCAAATAAGGATGTACAGCCTGAGCTCAGGGGCCTTGGTTACTGTGCCAGGTTAAGCTGGCTGGATGGACACCTTCCACACCATTCACACTCTGAGCTGTCAGCCTCCTGGGAGGACATGGACACGGTTGAATTTGGGTGGAGACCTTGGGTTGGGTTTGGCCTGAATTTAGAAGTTTGGACTCCATTCTCCTCTCCTGCCTCGTCATCCTGGGAAAATCATTTCTTCCTTTATCTTGCTATAAAGTGGCAATAACCATACTGATATTCTTCAAAGAGTTTGTGGAAGATAATTGCAATCTATGGCATGTTTGGAGATATGTTTAGGTGTCTCACTTGCTGCAGGGTTGAACTGGGTGTTAAGCAGTGGTCATGACGCTGCCCCTCAGGCTAGCTCGGTGGTCAGACCAGCCCAGGAGGGCCTGGGAACTGTCCCAACCTGGAGCTTAGATGAGCATATGAAATGGTACTTTGAGGTCAGTGTGTGCTGGGCTCCTATTCTCCATGTGGCCTGATATAAAGACTGCAGGCTCAGCAACCTTTACATTTCGGCTGGGCCTTGCTCAATCCTAGATCAGCCATGGGGTTACGGTCGAAATCTCCTAGGATGTGCGTGTCTGGGACAGCCCTCTGGGGAGTCTGTTGCCTCTTGCCCTCCTTGGGCAGCCAGACTCCTGTCCATTCTTGCTCTGCCCCTCCGCCTTAATTGGTCCCAGACTCTGGGCCTTACTCTTTGTCTGACCCAGGGGCCATCTCCTGTGTTTTTCCTGTCAGAATCTCATGGGGCAGAGTTCAAACTCTATAGCGAGGGAGGATTGAGGGCACAGGGAAAGTGGAGATCTGAGGGGGAGAGGGAAGAAGCGTGCAGCATGGCAGCCTCGAGCCTGGCACTCCTCCCAGCCCATCACTCCCCCCCACCCCCATCTCCGCTTTATCCCCAGCACCATCTGTCACTTCCGTTGTAACCCCTGTAATCTTGACACTTCCCCAAGAATCAGGCTATCCAGGGAGTGCCTACTCTGTCCCTGAGGCAAGAGCTGGTGGGAGGGAATGTGGGAGGCAGCCCAGTGGGCCTGTCACAGAGTGGTGTCTCCCTGTCCTGTAAAAATGACCAGTAACCTCCTTGTTGAGCTGTTCCAAAGGAGAAGTAGGAGCTGAGCAAGGTACATCTGTGCAGCTCTCAGTGCCTGGTGGTATGGAGGGGTCTTAAGCAAGCGCCAACCTGCAAAGCTGCAGCTCCACCCCCTCCCCTTGGGAGGTGGGTTTGCCCTGCCCCCCTCATGGGCATCATACCATGCTATGGGTGATCACTTTAGAAAGGTCTGCCTGGGATCTGGACTGGAATGGGTCAGAGCAGGGAGACTGATGGGGAGGCATTGGTGATCCAAGGGAGCACATGAAAAGGGACTGAGCAGAGTAGGAACAGAGAAGGTGGCAAGAAGGAGACTGACCACAATGCCAACGATGCAGGAGAACTGATGGAGGCTTGGAGCACAGGGCCAGATATTTGTCAAAAGCTTTGGATGGCAGGGAGGGCACTGGATGCTTTGTGTCCATCATCTTGTTGATGCCAGCAGCCCACGGGTGAGTTGCAGACTCTGGTCATTGGCAAGTTTGGGCCTCAGACCCAACCTCAGCCCCCAGTACCCCTTGAGATGACAGAGAGGGTGGAGCCCTCTGAGTTTTGAGCCCTAAGATGGGCTAGGTGGAGGTACATATTTGGGGCAGTAACTAGCACGAACGTTTCTGTGGCTCCAGTCCAGCTACCAGAAGGAAGCCACTGCAGGATGACAGAGCAAAGGGCTTGAGAACTGGCTGGTCTCTATGTGTCCCCTGCAGCCTCTCCAGTCTTCCTGCCTCTGTGCTGCTAGGTTGGGTCTCAGAATCCCCAGTCATGGCCCCCAAGGCACAAGCTTTGCCAGACAACTAGATATGGAGCTATGCAGGCAGGAGGGAGACACATCTGCCAGGGGAAAGGATGCCTCCCGAGGTCAACATGCCCTCGTGATAGAGGTGTTCTTTGCTAGACCCATCTGCATCCTCAGGGCTCACGTGAGGAACCATGGCTGGGAAGAGGTGGTGGAGGACAGGGCAAGGGGCATCTAGGCTGTAACATCAGTTGCCCTGGGTGGTATTGGGGCAAATTAGATATTCTCCTCCTCGGAACACATGGCTTCTAGGTGGTTCTTGACCCTTATCTTGGAAGCCACATCAGAGGGACAGACCAGGGGAGGAAGGAATAAGAGCCTATTTCAGATCATAGGTGCTGGCCACTCTCTGAGGGGCCTTCTGGGGTGAATGGTGCAAGCAACAGAGAAGTACGGCAGTGCTGCCCCGAGCCTCTGCTGGCCCATGTTGGTGCCCATGTATTTCTCTGCCCCTTCCCAGCACCGGCATCCATTCTGGGGTAGGAGGGGGGCATAGTCACCTTTGCTGCCTATATTCCTCTTTCCAAAGGTGGGGTCTCATTCACTGTGGAAAATAGATTGCCTCCATCCTGCGGTGTCCAGACCGCTGTGGCTTTCCCTGCTGTGAGGAAGTAGGGGCCTGCTGCTGGAGCCCCTGAGCCAAGTGGGAAAGTATGAACACCTGGGGTTCCAGTACCTTCTGTGGCCCAGAGTGCCTTCCCTATCTGCTCTGTGGTGGGAGGGACCGTTCCCCCTCACGGGAGGGAAGGATGACACGACATCCCTGTGTCCTAGGCCTGGGGCGAGGTGGGTGGGCCCAGAGACCAGTAACTGTGCTCTTGGCTTCTTGGAAACCTGATTTTGACATGAGAAGTGTGAAATAAACCATCCCAAATTACTGAGTGGCAGTCCTGCTGTCTGTGTGCAGAAAGAGGGAGGAAAGTTCCTCTTAGTGAGACAGGGAAGCAGAGAAACTGGAGTATTGAGGTCAGGGCATGGGGTGGCCTCGGTCTCCTGGGGGTACTTTTTTTTTTTTTTTTTTTTTTTTTTTTTTGCGATACGCGGGCCTCTCACTGTTGTGGCCTCTGCCGTTGCGGAGCACAGGCTCCGG